CACCCAATCAGGTGGGATCATCAAATACGAGGACAAGTCCATTAGGGAAGCACAGCTAAGGGGGGGCAGGGACGATGTCTAGAGAGTCCTAGGCTGAAGTACAGAGCAGCGGCCAATGAGTAGGACAAAGCCAGGACAAACCAGAGCCCTCCCCAGTTATACTCTTCTCACCCTCAGGGCTGCTAGGCTGGAATTAACTGAGCCTGGTGAAATGATTCAAGATGGCGTCCCCACGGTCTACCTGACCCAGATCTCCTGGCTGGTGATGCCCACATGGCTTCTCTATGGATCAGGTACAAGAGATTTTGGTCTAGTCCAAGCCATAACCAAAGAACGGCACACTTGACATGACTCCCAGAACTGAGTGCTTAGATGTGCTTCTTAATTTGTAAATAGGAAAGCCCTTTAGGGCTGAAGCTGTTAGAAAAGGAGATTGTCATCTTAATCCAAAGACATTCCTGGAAATTAAAATTATCTACCTGCCTTAGTTTCATCTATATGAGGGAGGTCCATGTTCAACTTTGAATAGAAGGGATGTGCCTTCCAAGCCTCCAGCTCCCTGCTCCCCCATCCTGGTCTCAGCAGAGATAGAGGAAGATATTCCAGGGATCTGTTGGTTTGACCCCTAACATGGGTTACACCAGAAATGGTCCAGCCTGAAGGGACTCTGCTTGGGTCCTTAGCCAGGAAGGAGTGCCTCGGGGAGTCTTGTTTTTATTACAGGGAACGAGAAGGAAGATACCCTCATCTAGGGTGGCCAGATGTAGCAAATAAAAATACAGGACATCAGTTAAATTAAAATTTCAGCTGAATTACACAGAACATTTTAGTATTAGTATATATTTTATCTGATTATATTTTATCTGACGCTACCCCAAGCCCCACCAATGCTATGGCTGTGAGTGTAGGAAAGGGAAAAACAGCCACTCTCCTGCCTCTTTTGAGCTAGGCTGACTCCTCAAGGAAAGAGTGGTCTTGGTTTGGGGACAGAGGGAGAGAAGAAACTGTGGGGTCCAAACTCATAGGTCTCTTGCAAGCCTCAGAGCATGATTGTAGCAATATGGATATAGACAATGTATCTTTGGAGTGAGGAAAACAAAACCCATTAGATGAGGACTCAACACAGGGGTCTAGGCCATTCTCTCCCCTCAATAGCTATGTGACCTTCCAGTCACTGAACCTCTCTGAGCTGAATTTCTATAGCAGTGAATGCAAGTCTCGTTGGGGCTCTAATAGCCACGAGTCTTATCCTGAGGACTGGAACAGCATAGCTGAGTCTGTTCTGGAAAGCACAGTTGAACTTGGGAGAAGCACAGAGGATAGCAAGGGTTAGAAAATGCCCTTCTCACAGGGCACCTCCTCCTCCCTGACATCTGTGGCTGTGGGGCTTCCATACGCCATGAAGTAGACCGTGGAGGAGCGGTCAGGGCGGCCAGTGCAGTGGGGACCTGACGGCCCAGGACTTTCTGTGACCCAATCTTTTCTTGAAGCCCATTGATGCTTTCGTTATGTTAGACTGACTTTGGTTTAAGTTCTGCTTTATCACAAGATTCTCTACATTCAATTTTTCTAATTTATGATGTAAGCGAGCATAGATTGGTAGCATGAATATATGTATGTAAGTATATATATGTTTATAGACAGAAAACTAGAGAGTTAGATGAATAGAAAGATGGAGAAAGAGAGGGAGGGAGGGAGGGGTGGAGGGAGGAAGATGAAAAGGCTATTACTGATACAAAATATATGGCCAAGCCACTGCCTTTAGAATATTTTTAGAACGTTCTTTTTGGAATTGACTACAGATTCCTTTACATATTTAAATAAAAATCTATACTCAATCGTGACAAATTTTGTATTATGAGGGTGATTTGCAATTGGGAACTGCAGCCAAATTTGGGAAGTGAGTCACTCAAAGTGGTTCATGTAATTTTTGGTCAAACACAGGTCACGACAATAAAGAAATGAGACCGTCTTTCCTCACATGGCCCCTAACATGACACTGAAGACTATTCTATTGGAAACCTCTTTGAGGGTCTGGCAGCAGTCGGAGTGATGGTCATGTTGCTGTGATACTCCAGGGTTGTAACTAATACCTGCAACTGATTCGTCTGCTGCCCTCTGTGCTTCTCCCAGCTCAACTACAAGTTCACTCAGGGCAAAGACAGAGTCTCTTCCTCCGTGTGTCTGCTGTGTGCCTCGCTCCCTGCCGTGCCCGAGCGGTTGCTCAATACAAGTTGGCTGACGGAGTGAACATAAAGTATCTACAGCAAACGGTCCTTCAGCAGCTTTCAGAAGCTCCTGAGACCTGCTGACGGGGCTGGTGCAGACGAACCACACCCAGCTCCCTCACTAGCTGCCTGCTGTCGCCATATTGTTTTCACCAGAGGGTAGGAAATAAAATGGTTCTGTGCCAGTTGTGCCTTCCATGGGAAAATCCCACAGGCATAGGCTTATCCCACAGCTACCAATCCCTATTGCCTTTCCTTCTCCTCTCCTTTTCCCTAAGTCTGGACCCCATTTGGTTTTGCTCAGTCCTTGGCTGATTATATACCTGGCTCCAATATCAATTATTCCATTTCCTCCCTTCTTCACCCCCTCCCTCTGCCAAATCCTCATGTATGCTCAGCTCTTAGCTGTTCCCATAGCCTCTGCTGAACTGAGAGGAGACAGGACATGCCTCAGCAGCTACCCTGACATGAGTCATGTCTGAAGTCCCGCCAGCAAGAAGAATGAGGAGGTTGGGCCTCCGGGTGCGGGAAAGGAAAGGAATTTTCACCGGTTGTCAGAAAACAGGCATAGCGAGGGAAGGTTGCAGTTTGGGAGCATAAGAGCTGGTAAGATCGCTGAACGCTGAGCTAATTAGCCAGAAGAAATGCTCAACAGGGCCACATAAAGATTTTCTTTCCAAGAAAATCTCTCCCAAAAAGTTCCCCCACAGTTGTCAGTTATAAATTTCCATGTGTAATTACCCCACACCACCATTTTGAAAATATGTCACAGTCACCAGAACATGCCACTCCGTGAGCAAAGTGGATACACAGGTATTAAAATGACCATTTTGCAGGGCCTCCCCTGGTGGCACAGCGGTTGAGCGCTGTGCTGCGAAGCTGCCCGCAGCCTCTGCTGCGCCAGTTCGATCCCTGGCCGCCGGTGAGGGTCCCACATGGCACGCAGACCTCTCCTGCAACGCCCGCTGCTTCCCTCAGGGGTGTATTTCGTCACTCTGCCTGTTCTGTTCCCCACTCTGGCTCTGGTGAATTCTCTCACCCTCCCGCAATTCTGACTGTACCCAGTGCTTTTATAAATAAATAAATAAATCTTCATAAAAAAATGACCATTTTGCAGATGAGAAAATTGTTGCTGAGAGAGGTTAAGAGACTTATCTAGAGTCACAGAGCTAGGAAGTGGCAGAGCTGAGACTAAGATTAAGCCTCTAAGCACTGATTTGCTAACACAGCGTGTGTGAAGACACGTACCAGCTGCCTTCTCAGCCGGATTATCTCTTTGATTGCGCTCCAGCATTGGGTCTCACCTAGCCTTTTATACGGCATCACTAAGTCATTTTTTCAGATTCTGTCTGGCCATTACTTGGTGCCAAAGTCCTTTCTTCACATCTACGCCCAACCTGCCAATTTTGTTGGTCTCAGTCATCCGTATTATGCTGCACTGAGGGTATCAATTGACATCATGAATCACAAAAATTTGCAGCAAACCTAGTTAAATTTTTCCTTTTAGTCCTTCAATTACAACATGGAAGAGAGACAAATCCTCGGAAATTAGTCCCAATGAGAACTCAAGAAGGAAGGAATTATGTTGATGAAGAAGGAACACCGCACCCTTAAACCACTCGCGCTCTCTCTTGCCCAAGACCTCAACAATTAGGGAGGCATCTGTGAACACAGCAAATATTGCTGAAATCCTGAATTTCCACAAAGACGGTGCCCCCAGCTTTCCCTAGATATGTAGCCTTTATGCCCATTTGCACAAGGTCTTGAGGGTCTCACAAAAGAATTCGCAGGCTAATGTCCAATGTGAGCTAATGTTGAAACCAGCAGAGATAAATGAAAGTCACAGAATTTGGGCACTGGGAGAAACCTTGGTTGTCAGCTGGCCCAATAACCCAGATTTTAGAATCAAAGAAAAGTCCTGCCCTGACTGGTGTGATTAAACCAGAGTATCAATCGTGGTGCTGGTGCAGAATTAGGGCTCAATAAACATCTGCTCACTAATGGGTGGAAAAGCATAGTGGGTTGAAATAGCATAGAAGACAGTGATGGGGCAAGCATTAAGAACCTGGAATAATCTCTATTCATGTTATTTCTTTAAAAATATTAAGAATAATTATCAGGGTTTTTTTTTTTCCCATGGACATTATTTCATTTAATCCTGACAATGAAGCAGATTTTATTGTATCTATTTTGTATGTGAGGATAAGGAGGCCCAGGGGTAAAAGTATCTTGCTCAAGGTCATGTGCTCAGCCGAATAACAGAAGTTAAATTTGAACCTAGGTTTGTCCAATTTACAAACTCAAGCTCTGCTCCAGCATCTGTCCTCTTATTCAAGAGTCCCTGCAGAGGACGCGCTCTCCTGGCCTTAGGGAGCCTGCCAGGACCCCTTCTGTGACCATCAGCACATACAGGGGTAGAAAGACATTTAGCAACTTCTAAATTGATCCACAAATGGACCTTATTAATTCAAACTTCTCCCAAATCCATGATTGAATCAGAAGTATTAGGAAATGGGCTCTTTAAAAAAAAAAAGGTTCTTTATACTTTTCTAAAATCTTCTTATTTGAGACACTCATGGAGTGTCATCCAAATGGGAGGCCCATTAAGAGTCATCTATGAAATAACAGCAGAGCAGCAGACCTGGTCAGAAGTGAAAGGCCGCACCTCACAGACCAAAGGGGCCTCTTCCCACCCTGCATCACTCTGATCAACCTTGTAGACACCGTCAACAGACACCCCCAACTGTGCCCACGAACATCAATGCTCCTTACCGGATACCCCCAGGAGCCATTCCCCGCCTGGAGCTTGGAATAGTAGCTGCTCCTGCTGGTGGTGCCATAGTTGTTGTAGTTGTCGGCCAGGCCATCGTACATGGAACCTTGAAAGCAAAGGTGGGCGGTTAGGACAGCGATGGCTACGCTCTTCCCCAGCCCCCTCCCCGCCACAGCCCCTCTGCACCCAGGCCTGCCATGAACCCTGGAGGAGACCAGGTCTGAGCTCTTGCAGGGGGAGGATGGGAAATAAGTCATCCACCGGCTTCTCCCTCTACTCCACCTCCCCATATCCCCGAGAGCCCCGGCCACCTCTCCCTGGGGACTTAACGCTTTCATGCTGCTGAGGGTGGTGGCCACCTACAAGTCAGAGATCGGCCTGGAAGGGCTCGGAGAAAGGTGGTTCCATTCCAGGGAATCACGATTCCCCGCTCCACAAGGATAAGCTTCCCGCCGGGGAGAGACAGGCTGGATCTCGACATCCCAGGTCCAGGCCGCGGAGCAGCAACGGCTGATTAGAGTCCACTTCGGGCAAGACTCTGGTTTCAAAGCTCAGCCCGGCCCCCGCTAGTGACGAGATGACTTTCCACCCCTTCCTTCACCTCCTAGGGGCTCCAGCTGGGGAAGGGGGAGCGGCCATCCACCTCAAAGGCCCCAGTGAGGATTAATTAATGTTTTCGGAGCGCTAGAGACCCACAAATGACAGGCTCCAAAGGAAAACAGAGTGTCATTAGGGTTATTAGTGACAAAGTGGCTTTGAATTACAGAAAGCAGAGCTGGATTTGGGCTCCTGTTGGGGACCCTAAAGGAAAGCCCCAACTCTGTAAAAGCTGGTCGTGTTCACTCTCCTGCTGTCCTTGAAACATGGCTGATGGCAATGTGTCCAGGACTTGGCTCACCTCATGCCCCTTGCCAAGTCTCCATCAAATTCACCCATCCTTCAAAGCCAAGTTCAAGACCTTCCCACTCCCGGAAGCCTTCTTTGACCACTCCTGCCTGAGGCACTCTCCTGCTTCTAAACACAAACAGTCCTGCTACCTGCACCCCAAGTCACATCCTGCGTAGTGTCTCAGTCCCCACACTGGGAGTGGCATGAGGCTAGATGACCCAGATGTCCAGAGCTGGCTTCCCCACACTCTTCTTAAGTAGTGGCCTCTGGGGCAGGGAGAGGAATCTGGGCTCCAGTGAGAACCTCCTAAGGGGAAAGAGCTCCCCTTTTTCTAAAGTGATGGTCAGACTCCAGCGTCGGAAGCTCCGTCTATGAGGAAGGTTTGACCTGGTCAGTGATTTCACCTGGCTCCTCTCTCACCTGCCACGCCCACTCAGACTCCCCTGCCTTTTGGGGGTGGGTGGTGAGACTGGACTACCAGAGCGGGGAGTAGAAGGAATAGCAGAGGGGCAGCTTTGGGGTGTGCCTGGGGTTAACTCCCCTGTTCAATGCCAGGTGACCACCCAGGGCTCACAGGAGGGGGCACCACCCTCAATTCCCTGCCTCCCTCACCCCATCATGGAGGATCTGTTGGCCATTAGAGCTCTGGGCAGTGGCAGAGACAACTCGCCCCTGGAGCCCAGAGGCGGTGAACTTGACCCCGGCTCTGGCATTTGGGCAAGTCACTTGTTCTCTCCATGCCCTGCTCCCTCTGTACAAAGACAGGGATGGCCTCTGCACACCACAGGCCCCATCCTGCTCCTGTGCCGGTGATGGCGTGATTACAGTGACACCTGCCTGCTGCCATTCAGAAGAGCCAGGCTTCTCTTCTCTGGAGATGGGGCTCAGCTTACAAGGAAGAAGGGCAAACATCAAAGGCTGCACCACGCCCCGGTTGCCTGCCCCAGGGTGCTCCCAGAGGCGGCATCCCTGAAAAGCCCAGGCCCAGGCCCAGCCTGCCTCCCATAGGGACCGCCCTCTGAGTCTGCTAGTCTGCGAGCTCCCTACTAAGTGCAGGCGGCATGTCTCTCTCCTTTCCCAGAAGCTGCCCTCTGGAAAGGCTGCCCTCGTCCCGAGGTGACCGGCTGCATCTCAGGGCTCTGCCACCAGAGCTGCCCCACCAGGGAAGAGGCTGCAGCCAGGCACAAGCACAGCCAAGCCCCCAGGCGGCCCACAAAGAGCCAGGTCTCAGCCACCTCCCCTCCTCCCAACCCACTTCCATCATCCCTCCCAAGGCTTGGCAGGCCAGAGTTCACTTGGCAACTGCCCCATGAGCAGGGATTTCTCACCAAAGGGCAGACATGGGTCAGCCAGCTCTTCTGGATGGAAAATCTAGGGTGGTGACAGACAAAGCGTTCCATGGAGTCCCAGGGAGGCCTCCTGTGAGGAGAGGCATCCCCAGGAGGCTCTGTGGAGGGCAGGCTCCCACGGGGCCTCCGCCCCTTCTCACAGGGGAATCTGTCAGCGGTGATGTCACTTGCCCTCTTGGCCATCAGATGAAGCGTCTCCTCCCTTCACGCCCTGCACCTGCCCGCCTCCCTCTCATACACTGTCTCTTCTCCCAGGGACAGGGAGGCAGCTTCTGGAATGCCCTAGATTGCAAAAATCAGTTCCCATATCCTGGTGGTGACTCTGGGAATGATGGGTGTGGGCAGTAACTCTCAATTTTGCTTGGGCCGAGGTCTCCAGGACCTTCTAGGTTAGTCATTAAGGTACCCCCTAAGATTCACATTTAGGGACCTAACTGCCACCAGAAGCTGCTTTGTTTGGCTTCCTTGTGGCAACAAAGCAGCCATCACCCCAGCCAGTGCATCTCTGATAGCAGGTAGATGCACTTGGGGCCACTGTGGTAAGGCGGGAGAAGAGTTTGGAGACATTACACACTTGAAGTCATACCTTGCATTGTACCAGATAATAAAAGCGCACAGGTGGGAGGTGAGTTCTGTTTATGAGAACGCTGCTCCTACAATAGAAGTGATTGCCTCCTTCCCTGACCCCAGGGTGTCTAGCTGAACCACCACCTGAAAGTCAAGCTCAATAGCGAAGGCATGGGGTTTCTCAATGAGAGTGAAGGTGATAGCTCTGACAGCTTTCCCTTCCTCACCGGTTCCCCAACTTCTCTAGAACTCACTTCTAGGAAACCTTTCCTGATCAACTCCATCTGGTCCTAGCTCCCCCAGCCCACCCCAGCCGACTGTCTCATCACTACAGGTAAGGTGTGGTTGATTTTCCCTCACTGTTGGTGGCAGTATCCACCGTCAAATCCTTAGGGCACTCCCTGAGCGAGAATCATGCCTTTTCTTTCCCTGGATTCCTGGCATAGGGTACTGGTCCAGCTGGGATTGGGCCAACCAGGACTGAGCAGGCCCTTTTTGTCCACCAGATCTCCCTTGCCCCCGCCCCTGAAAGTGAGGTTCTCTGGTGCTGGGAGGTTCAATGTCCCCATAACTGTAGTGTGGGACCAGGGTTTAGAACAGCCAGGACTACCTTCTTGAGGAGGATGCTTGGTCAGGCCATGGCATGGGAGGTGATCTCAGCACCCAACTCACCCACAGAACCACTCCTACCCTCCCAGCCTAGCATTCCCACTGTTCCCTACAGAAGGCCCATACACGGGAACAAAGGGTAGCAGCTTCTGCCTATGGCTGGCTGCCAGCCCAGCCTATTATCAGCCCCGGGAAGCATGCGCCTACCCTCGGAACCCCAAGGTTAAAGAGTAAATGTCTCAGGGAGCAGATTGCTTTCCCCAGTATACAAGCCATACCAGCTGCTCTGTCCCCACATTTTATGTCAATGTTTCAAGTATAAAGTCATCACAGACAATCTCCCATCAGAGGACCAGCATCCTGGGGTGCTGTCTCCCTGTGATGGTGCCCCAGACCACGGCCTGATGCGCCCTGTGTCTTGGGGCAACCCAAGCTCTCTCACCTCCAGAGGCTTTGAACATGGAGGCAGCTCCTTTGTTAGGACACATGGAATTCTCTCTCCAAGGGGTAAACCTTGCGAGGATGACTCACCCCCTCCACCTCCAAGCTTTCAACTAGGTCACACCCACCGCACCTGAAACATTCCTTCTCTTCTTCTCAGCCAAACCCTCTCCCTGCATTCAAAACCTTGCACAAAAATCAGCTTCTCTAAAGATGACCCCACCCAGCTCTGGGGCCTCTGAACCCTCCAGCAACCACATCAGCACTGCGTCCACTGTTCTCAGCACTCTGCCAGCTTGGGTGTTCCTTGGAATGTGGTTTCTGGGCCGTGTGTGTGCATGTGTGCATGTGTGTGCACCCATGTACCCTTCTCCCAGAAAGCCTGTCCTGGATCTCCCCCAGGCAGGCTGGAAACTCCTTGAAGCAAGGTACCTTCTGCTTCTGGTAGGTCCCCCAGCCCTGCCCCAAGTGCAAGTTCCAGGTGGGGAATGTCTCCTGGGGACATCTGGGAAGGAACTTCTTCTGTTCACACAGGCCTGGAATGTTGGGGTGATGGTTTGGAGTTTATACTCCAGGGTGTCTCAGTGGGTCTATTGCTGAATCTGTACCCCCCAACCCCCCTCCAAGGTCTATGTCTCTTCTAGATTCTTTTACACTTGGGTAAAATCCATCAGTTCCTCAGCACAGAAAGTTCAAGAAAGGAAGCCATGCTCTTTCAGCCTTGAAAATACATTTCTTCACCCCTGAGGTCTTTCCCACCATGAGACCCAGTAAAGCTAGGCCCACAGTAAGAGGATTTTAAATGAGATAAAAGGAACTGGCAGGAAAATAATTCTGAGACAATCTCCCTCTGAGATGTCTGAGAGTTAACGAGAGTTGTGTCTGGGACAGTCTCGGACCTCGGGACGAGAACAGCCAGCACCCCCTGCTCCGTCCAGGCCAGCTGGGAGCAGGTAGGACGTACAGCCCCGTCCCAGAGCCTCTGTGTCCACAAGGAGGCACTTTGGTGGGTTCTTGCCCTTTCCCTGGGCATGTGTACAGAACAGAGCCGCGGAACAGAGGGGGCTGCTCTGTGTCCGCCCTGGTCCCGCACCAGCGCACGCATTTCCCACGGGCTCTGCTGGAATCTGTTCAGGCCCCTCTGCTAGGTCTCGCCTCCCTTTCTGATGATCTGTTCGGGGCCACCAATACCTGAGGATTGGGCACAGGGTAGGCATGTCTTATGGGGACAGAACTGGCACAGGGACAGTGC